TGATGATAATAATAATAATAACCTTAATGGACTGTTAAAAGGATTAAATGATCATTTAGATCAAAGTTTGGCATGAAGAAAGTACTTTACAAACATTAGTTATTTTTCTTCTTTGGAGGGGGCAAATAACTTTTTCAGTCCTTTCTTCAAGACTGGTGTATCTTCGCAGCACAGATTCTTAGTCCTCCAATGGCTGTTTTCAAGGTCTAGTTCCAGGTGCCTTTCCTAAAATCAATGTGACTCACAGAAACATGGCAATCTTTCTGAAAATAACTGCTAAAAACTGGCAACTCTGATGCTCCATTGGGGCAATTTTACAAACTCTTAAGCATCTCTAAGCAGTTTAGTCGATATTTAGAATTTCTTTCTACTTTTTAATTTGTGATTCACTTTTGGAAATTCTTTGTTTTCCACAGAGTGATTAAAATGTAGGATAATACAACAATCTCTAGGTCCAACATTAGAGCACTAGTTGGAACACATTAAGTGTGTAAAACAGTGTAGCAGGTGGGACATCGAAATTTCAAAACTGTGCTTCCAACGTGCAAAATTCCACAAGTGCTGAGACTACAGCACAAGTCTGGTGGCTGTGTGACATGTTGTGGCAGATTCCCAGGTGCACAATCAGGTTAATTTCTGCTCTAAAATGTGATTTGATACAGTTTTGCTTATAGATTCAATAATATCCATTGTACTACACATATGGTTTTGTATTTAGAGTTTAAAAAACAACAGTAACAAAAATAAAAGAACAATTACACTCTTTCAAAAAGATATTGAAGGAAGTTGAAATTGTTTTGGTCTTTCAATCAAATGCATTGAAGCTGACCAAACCACTGCAGACATTTAGTGGGGTGCCCTTGATTTCTGGGAGCTGATGTGAAGTCGTTTGCAAAGCATTACCTATAGAGAGCAGTGTGCCTCAGATCAGAGCTTGGTTCTGTGCAGGTGAGCCGCCAGCCCTCACACAAAGTGAGAGCAGAACTTGCCAAATACTGGAGGAAAGGCCTGACTTGATGAACAGTAAACTTTATTTTTTAAAAAATAGATGTTTTCAGAGCTTGTGGTGTAGTGAATTATCTAATGTCTCTTCTAACTCCCACCAAACAACGTTTTTGCCCTGCTTGGTCTGGGAAAGAGAAGGTGAGAAAAGCTACTGATGGAATGACAGGATTCAGCTGTGGCTGTTAGCAGAGTTCATTGTAATTGTAAACACTTGAAACTCTCGCATGGGTTTAAAAGGAACCATTTCAGAGGCCGAAGGGAGGAGCTTCCTACTATTAAAGATGCGCAGACGGCAGTGGAGTGTGTCTTTTGGGCCCTGAGCTGCCTGCACATGGAACTTCCGGGACCTCGATACACAGAACACTGTGACGCTGGAGGAGTGGCAGAGGAGCAACAGCGGAACCCAGAACCACAACATGGGACAGACATGGAACAAGTAAGGCTGAGGGACTTTGGGCAGAAAGCTCGCTGGTAGAGTGGGTACCTCCAGGCGCTTAAGTGAGGGAGCTACGTTTGCTGCCCCAAGGAGCTAAAACTGAGCATCTGCCTTTAGGCTGAGGCTTGTGGTGGAGTGGGGTGTCTTGTGGGCATTTATCAGCAACTGACTGAAACAATTGTACCCTGAGCTCTTCTGACTCCAAATTGTAACCTGTTAATTTCCCTAACTAACCCTGTAAGTGTGAGTATGGTATCTGAGTTCTGTGTGGCCATTACAATGATTAGCAAACCCAGCTAAACAGAGAGGGCTGTGGGAAGAATGATTGATGCTTCATATTTTTGCAGGGTTGGAAAAGACCCTGTAGCTTACTAAGACCAAATTCGTAAATTAAGGAGAACCTAAAGAACTTTTGGTTTACTGCAGTATCAATAGCTTCTGTGGCACCCCAGTGTTTGCATGCTGAGGCAAATGTTTCTGCTTTAATTGAAGAAATACCCCAACGTTAAGGAAAGAGAACAGTCATCTTAGGACACTGGGCATTCCTCTTCCTGACTTGTCACTGTGCTTAGGTCAATGACAACATATTACCTCTAAGAATTCCACTGCTACTGACTCCAGCTGGGAGACTAATAAGGCAATTAGCACAGCTCACATTCATTAGGTACCTGTGATACTTTGTATAGAGTGAGGTAGGAAGCCTTGTCTTCTCCCCTTTAGAGGAGAAAAGAGAAGCACAGAAAAGTTGCATCTTGTCCAAAGTCACACAGCTGATTGGTGGAAGCACTAGGACTTGAACACAGAGCTGATGGATCCCTTGAAAGACTGTGTTGAATTGTTTGTGGGTGTCCCAGGGTCGGGGAGTAGTTGTTAGAGCAAGAGGAGGGAGGTGTGGGTAGTGGACGGTCTCAAAGAGGGTGTAGTTCTGAGGTGATTGGATATTTGAGAAAGGCATGTAAGGACCAAACAGGTGTCAGGGACAACAAATGGAAAACTAAAGGGGAAAAGGTTACTCTGGAGCAAGACCTATTAACTTCATAATTTTGTTTAGGGTCTAGTGAGGATTATTTGTTGGAGTGCGCATTGGGGATTTATGATGGTGGATATTAGGAGTTGTTATGTGCCATGGAGTTGGTTCTGACTCCTAACAACCCTGAACAGTGTTTCCGAGGCTGTAAATCTTTATGGGAGCAGAAAGCCTCATCTTTCTCCTGTGAAACAGCTGGTAGTTTCAAACTGCTGACTGTGAGATTAGCAGCCCAATTCGTAACCACTACACTAACAGAGCTCCTTAGGCACAGGAGTAATTTCTAGTAATTGTAGCTGGCTGCAAAGGTATTATGTGTGTGTGCATGTGTGTAAGGAAGAGACATGAAGTGGAACATGCCAAATCATCCTCATTATGCAATTTCAGATAGTCACAACAGGCTTTAAAACAGCTGTTTTTTTCTGTTTTTGTCATTCCATATACACGCAAGGCTGCTATACTGTAATTCCCTGGGCTTAAATGGTTCTTTAAATTGCTATTCAGTTTACAAAGGTGAAGTTTTCTCTTGCCCAAATTCTCCAGCATACACTGCTGAGCTCATTCCCTTCAAACGAACTGTACTATGTTTTATTCATTGTAGCATTTTGCTACTAGTTCAGCAATTTCTTTCTTGCAACATTCTCAAATGAGAGTTTACCAGTACTGGCAAGTTAATACTGCTCCTACAACTGTGATCCATTCATGGAGCACAGGGAGTTAAGGCACTTCTAACTTTTAATCTCACTTAAAATGAGCTGATAACTTGGTATCATCCTCACTTGGATGCTTTTACAACTGACAGTGTTTTAGCTTTATTACTTGTAAAGAACAACCTTATGGGACATATCTTTGGCTTAAAATCCCATCTAGTTCAATTCCTGGCAACAGCTGAAATTATGCTCCCATATCCTACAACACAGGCCTTCATAAATATCCTTTCAATTTGAACTCTTAGGATTTCTTCCCCCTTTTGCAGTATATTGTTTGGGATGGAAGGGGTCACTTGGAACAAAGGATCGTTCTCTGAGACCCTGAACTCCCTTTAGCCAACTTGTGGTACAGCTACTCATGTCAGTAAAAGAAGAATGTGGTTGGTGCTTGGTAACCAATTTCAACTTTATTGCCATTACTATTTCTGAATGAAAGGTGAGGACAGAAATCAAGGAGAACAGCATCTTTACATTCAAATGGTAATTAAACATTGAAAAGGCAAAACCTGGTTGCAATTGAGGGTCAGATGCATTTTGGTTCTAGTTGCAGTTTATCAAACACATGCCCTTGAACACTTATTTTAATCTGTTTTCTCATCTGCAAAATGGTAATATTAATAGCACTCACTTGATAAAGCCATTAAAGTAATTAAATAAGATCATACACACCCACAGACTAATCTATAATTGCTAGTTCAGTTGACTTGCACTCATGGCAACTGTCTGCACAGTAGACTGGAACATTTCCCAGTCCAGCATTATTAGACTGGAACATTTCCCAGTCCAGCATCACTCTTAACAATCTCTGGCATGTTCAAATTCATTGTTGGGGCTAATGTGCAAATTCATCTCATTGGTGATCTCCCTCACCCTTCTTGACCCTCCTCCATTTTACATGATGTCCACATCCAGTGATTAGTCTTTTCTGATGATATATTCAAAGCAAATGAGTTGGACAATGTTCAGTTGTAATCCATAGTTTCCCTTGACTGATATTTGGATGTTCATCACCAGGCCTAACTAGTCTGGGAATTCTGCTAAGCCTATTCACGCAAGGTGACCTTGCTGGAATTAGAAATACTGGTGGCATCGATTCCAGCATCATAGTGACAAGTCATGATAATAGAACAGATTGACAGATGAATGATGGTGACTAGTGCATGTTGAGTTGGTTCTGGCTAATAGTGACCTTGTGTACAATAAGAAAAAAACACACCCACAAAAGCTGCCCAATCCTGCACTGTCCTCTCAATTGTTGGTAATTGTTGTAGCCACTGTGTCAATCCATCTCACTGAGTCTCCTCATCTTCTTCTTTGCCAAGAATGACTGGCTATTCTTGATTAAAATGTCCAAAGTACAAGAGATATAATCTTACCATCCTCACTTCTAAGGAACATTCTGGTTGTATTTCTTATAAGACAGATTTGTTCATTCTTCTGACAGTTCATGGTCTATTTAACATTCTTCGTCAATACAATCATTCAAACGCATCCATTCTTCTCCAGTCTTCTTAGTCATTGTCCAGTTTTCACATGCTCATGAGACAATTTAAATAATCTGGTACAGACTACAAGCTTAATAAGTGTTAACTGTATTATTTTAGGGTATGGGCATAGAAAAAGGTTGGCTGTAATACCATCAACCATAAAAATTAATATTCTGTTGTAGTGTGTAATTAGTAAAACAATCTCTTTCTGCATCTGGCATCAAATGGTCTTTGAAACAGAAGGGAAAGAAACATTAGACTGAGTGTGTCTTGTGGTATATGTGTCACGTCACTTTAATTCAATCTCAGCAAATGCCCTTGTAATTTACACTTACCACACTGAATCCTTGGTGAGCTTGGAGTTCACATTCCCATCTTCTTCCAGGAAGACATCCATTTGCAAATTGGCATTGTTATCATGGGCTGAGAAATAATTGGTAATGACTCTTGCAGGTATCCCAAGGCATCGCAAAACTACAGGAAAGGAAGGTAGACCACAACTGAAAACACCACCAAAATGAATAAGAGTAAAAAAAAAAAAAGTAAAACAACTTCAAAAACCCTTCTTATAAGGGGATTTCCACCAAAATGAATAAGAGTAAAAAAAAAAAAAGTAAAACAACTTCAAAAACCCTTCTTATAAGGAGATTTCTTCTTTTCCAACATGAAAAGTTCCTTTGCACATCTTGTTCTCAAATGTTCCATACTGAGTGAGGGGGATTCACATAAAGCATGTCAATTTCAGAGAGAAACCTTGACTGTGATTATTTAAAACTGCAGTTGGCGCCAAATGGAACAGAATCCCTATACTGTGGTTCTCACTGTTGAGTATTTAGTCAATCTAATGGGGCTACGTTTCTGAAACAAGTCAACCAAGTAACCAATTAGGAATTTACAAGGCATGTCCTTCGTAGGGTTTGCTGTCAGGGACTCTGAAGTTTGTTGCTCCTTGTTTGTTGCTCAGTGGAGGGTGACACCACAGATTAATTTTAATTGTTGGATAATAAATTACTGGAATGTATCTCTTGCCATATGTACCTATTGATTAAACGTGATTCAAATGCCCTCCCTGGCTCCCAGGACTCCAGCCATCAGGGCTCATTTAAAATAATTCAGCTGACAATTTTAAGATTAATGACTTGGCTTGCCTTTTTTTCTCTCAGAATAGTTTAGCATTTTTAACCAAGATTCTCCACCTCCTTCAAGAGAATAACCTTGAAAGTCTGCACTAGACTCTGATACTCGAGTATCCTCCTTCTTATATGACTTCACCACGCAAACAAAGGCTGCCACCACCCCTGTTCATGCCAGATGTTTACTTGTGTTTTATTGAGTGTGCAAATGCATTTGACTGTGTGAATCATAGCAAAGAGTGAGAATCCCAGAACACTTAATTGTGTTTACGCAGAACGTGTATATACACCAAGAGGCAGTAATTCAAATAGAACAAGGGGATACTCAATGGTTTAAAATTGGGAAAGCTATGTGACAGGGCCATATCCTTTCACTTCCTCAAACTGCATGCTAAGCAAATAATCTGTGAAGCTGGGTTATATGAAGAACACGGTATCGGAATTGGAAATATTATCAGCCTGCAATATGCAGATGGCACACGTCACTTACTGGTGAAAATCAAAGACTATAGACTTTAGTATATAGATTACACCTCAGTGTAAACAACCAAAATTCTCACAATTTGAACAATAAATAACATAATAAATGGAAAAAATATTGAAATTGTCAAGGATTTAATTTATGTGGATCCATAATCAACACCCATGGAATCAGCAGTCAAGAAATCAAATGACATACTGTATTGGTTAAATCTGCTGCAAAAATGGGCTTTAAAGTATCAGAAATAAAATGGGAGGGGGATCAAGAGCTCTCTTTGAGCACTAATGTACAGTTGATTAAGCCATGGTATTTTCAGTCACCTCATATATATGTGAAAGATGGACTATGGATAAAGGAAGACTGAAGAATTGATGTCATTAATACAGGGTATTGACAAAGAATACGAAATTATACCATGGACTGTCAGGAAGAAGTACAATCTGAATTCTCCTTGTAAGTGAAGATGGAGACCATGTCATGTATATTGTAAGTGAAGATGGAGACCTTGTCATGTTATGTTGGAAACAACTTGATGATACCTAACAGCAGTATTCATGTCAGAAGGAGCTCTGGTGGTGCAGTGGTTAAGTGCTCAGCTGCAAACCAAAAGATCAGAGGTTTGAGCTCATCATACACTTCATTGGAGAAACCTATGTCATTCATTGGAGAAAGCTATGTCATTCTGATCCCATAAAGAAATACAGTCTTGGAACCTTATGGGTAGTTGTATTTGCTCTACATAAGTGCTGATGGTGCTAACCACAAAGTCAGTTGTTCAAAGCCACCACCAGCTTTGAGGGAGAAAGATAGTTTTTCTGTTCCCATAAGTATTTACGTTCTTGGAAATTTTATACAGGGTCATTATGAGTCAGAACTGACTTGACAGCACTGAACAGCACTCTACCTTATATAGGGTTGCCAGGAGTCCTGGTGTGGCACTGTGGGTTCATGTGCTGGACTACAAAATTGATTTGAACTGCAAAGTTGGTGGTTCAAGCTCACTAGCTGCTCCTTGGAAACCCTATACAGGGTTGCTATGGGTTGGAACTGACTCAATGGCACTTAAAAACAACATGAGTCAGAATTAACCCCACGATAGTGAGTTTTTCAATCGAGAGTAATATTCTGAAGAATATTCTAAAGAGCAAAGATGTCAGCTTGAGGACTAAGAATATTCTAAAGAGCAAAGATGTCAGCTTGAGGACTAAGGTGTGCCTGACCCAAGCCATGGTATTTTCAATAACGTCATATGCATGTGAAAGCTGGACAGTAAATAAGGAAGACCATAGAAGAATTGATGCTTTTGAGTTATGGTGTTGGAGGAAAATATTGAAAGTACCATGGGCTGCCAAAAGAACCAACAGATCTATGTTTGAAGAAGTGCAGCCAGAGTGCTCCTTGGAAACCAGGATGACTAAACTTCACCTCTTATACTTTGGACATATTTTCAGGAGGGACCATTCTCTAGAGAAGGATATCATGTTTGGTAAGGTGGAGGGTCAGAGAAAAAGAGGAAGACCTCCAATGAGATGGATTGGCCAAGTGGCAGCATCAATGGGCACAAGTGTGGCAACAATAATGAAAGGTTGTTCTGGGATTGGGCAGTGTTTCATTCTGCTGTGCATAAGGTTGCTATGAGTCGGCACCAACTCGTTGGCACATTACAACAACAATATACAGGAGACCCATGTTAATACCTGGCCAATGCACCTCAAACTAAGTCACCACCCAATTCACCTCGAACTAAGTCACTACCCCTATTCTTTTATTTCTTAAATACACTAAAATGGATAAGACTATAATTTTATTTAGCTTAATGCCACAAGGAAAACCCAAAACAAAACTCATGATTTCTTTCCACTTGGATCACTGACTTAATTGAGTGTTGCTATGATGCTGAATAGGTTTTAACAGAGTATCTAGAATAAAATAGACTAGGAAGAAAGGTCTGGAAATCTGCTTCTGAAAATTAATCAATGAAAATCCTGAGGATGACAGTGGTTCAATCCATCACTGGTCATAGAGATGGTGCAGGACTGTGGTCATCAAGTGCTGTTGAGTTGTGTTTGACTCATAGGGACTTTATATAGGGTTTATGAAGAACAGCTTATGGGTTTGAATCACCAACTTTGTGGTTCTCAGTCTACTGCTTATCTTACAGCATCGCACCAGGACTCCAGGTGCAGTACTGTTGTTGTTGTTGTTGTTAAGTGCCATTGAGTCGGGTCCGACCCATAGCGACCTTGTACAGGGTTTCCGAGGGT